TTGGCATGTTTAATGGACTGCTCTGCCTAAGGTTACACCATATTCTGCTGACAAAAGTCAGTGTAAGTAGGGAATTTCATGATCAGTTAGTTGTTTAAATGAGCATTACCATTGTAGAGTATCTAGAACTTAAAATAATTTAAAATGACAATTCAGTAACTGTAAAGAGCCTAGGTTCTGCCAAACTGTGCAACATAAACATGTACAGGTGGTTTCTAGCAACTGTATCATACTAGATATGTTTTTGAGTCTCTAAAAAAAGTACAATGATAATGAAGAACACTATCTGTTCCTTGCCATTAGTAAGGACTACAAGAACATGCCTGCCTAGACAAAGGTCCCTGTTCGCCCTAAATTATCCTGTCCTCTTTGATAGTGTTTGAAGCCGTATTTCCTTGGTTTGTGATCTTGCCAGATGTTACAAACCAAGCAACCACTGAACAACCCACCCTCCCCTGGCGTGGATAGCCCAGGCATCACCCTAGGCTGCAGGAAAGGTGTTGGTGATTCTGTAGGTGCCATTCTTCCCTGTGAGTCAATTCTGAATCAATGCTCCACCACAATGCAAGAGTCTAGCGTACTGATGGAGATGCTATCTTTCAGATGAAATGTAACCAAGGTTTGCAGTGAGTGAGTAGCTAGAGAGTTTGTGGTGAGTTGATCAAGCGTCCCTCACACATCAAAAAATTCTTTGCTTGATTCCAAGACTGTCAAGATGGAGGCACTTTGAATTTTCTGATGCATCTGAAAAATTGAATCAAGAACCCCTTGCTGTCATAATTCATCCTCACTTTCCCAGATGAAGAGCCATTGCTTTAGTTTCTTTATTGCTGAAAGACTTGAAGGAGATACCAGTAGGTAGCACTTAGCCTGGGTATCTGGGAAGCAGTGAACTTTGTATGTTAGCATGTACAAAATAGCCTTGATTGGTCTATTAACATTTATATATGTTATTTGCTGCACAAGTGTGTGCCTTTGGAATGTGACAGGCCACCTCAATGTACATTGGACCCTAATTATTTCTAAATTCAGGGTGCATGCCATGAAAAAAGCCTGGAGATCTCCAATTGGTTAACAGAAATGTATATGTTGTAACCTCCAGTGTGTTTAAAACATTCGTATTTAATCCCAGAATGCATTCAAGACATTGGGTCAGAATAATTGGTGAAGAACTTAATATTTTTTGAAGGTCCAAAACAGCATGTGCGTGATAGACTTCTTGCTAGACTTCATTATAAACTGTCTAGTAGAAGTAGTACCCAGTATATGCTACCTCATTTTGCTCTTGCACATTTTTTTCCCATTCAGATTTACATTGTAGAACAAATTAGGCACTCGAGGTATCCTTAAAAACTTGTATTCAATGCTCTTTTGATCCAATATAGTTTATCTTTTCTTTATCTCACAAGAATTATTGAAATGGACTTCAAGCAAGTAAATGGAATTGACTAACTGGCATATCCTTTTGGTGCATTATTAAAAGTCTGTACATAAAATTATGCACATCACCAAAATCGGAAGAAGTAGGATGCTGAGTAGCTTTCTTCGAAGTAAAAGCAAGGCATCCTGTCAGCAAGCCTTCTGGGTATCAGATTTTAAATCAATGAAGAAGAGACCTAGAAGTAAGAAAATCCAATAATCTCTACAGATTTTATGACTGTCCCTTGCCATATATGAATCCTGGAGTTTAAAATCTCTAGGAGATCCTAGCTCGTTACGTGTGCAAGTATGGCAACGTCCACTTACAATAATGGATTTCATAATCAACAAATCCAAATCTAAGTACTTCCATTTACTTATTGCATTGATTTATAGCGCTCTATTTGCAGTGAGATGATGATTGATAATAAAAATTGAAATAAAAAAAACCATAATGTACAATCAAAAACAAGCAGAAGAACCAGGTACCATGGAAGAACGGATGCTGCTGGTTCCAGAAATGTTAGCAACCAAAAAAATAAATAAAAAAACCCTATCCTCAAATAATGGATTTCATCATGCCTCTACGCTTGGTAGAAAGGCTAGCTTGTTAGGGACCACAAAGGACAGCGCATTCCAGTCAAGAAGCCCCTTGGTAGAAAAATATCTGCTGGCAAGACATCGGAAACGAACAGCCAGAGTCTGCCAGATGAACTTAGCTGATATGAGAGGAGATAGGAGGTGATGAATTGATCAGCTACCTAGGTCTGAGATACAAGGCTTCAAAAATCATCAGCAACACCTCAGCTCCACAGGCTTGCACTGGACCTGGCTGCTCACCTCTTTGAGTTAGGATCGTAGGGGAAGCCCTGAGAAGCTCAGGAGTTCTTCAGGGCCAATCTTTCCTCTGATGTGGGAATCCTTGGATGGTTGAATGGATCAGGGCTTTCCTCCTGTAGATCTTTCTGTGGACTTTATGACTGGAGCTTCAGCTCCTTGTAAGATGGGGCCCTTTGGGTACAAATAATTCTCCATGCTTTCAGGTCACTTTAAAGTAATTTCTCATTTGAAACGGTATATTAGTTTTCAAGAAGGTATGCATCTATAAAGGAAAGAAGCTGCTTTTTCAATTGGACATCCTGTTTTGTAAAACTGACATGGCTTGTTAAAGCCTTTACATTAAAATTTCCAGTTAAAGGAGAACCAAGTCAATTTATATACATTATAAGGATTCAGATTTCAATAGAAAATAATTATACATAGAATAGGTTAGATTTTCGTTAGTAATTATTCCACTGATTTTCATTGCTCATTATAGTTGAACAATTCCAGACCAAATGTACAAATACTGACCTGCGAGTAGCAGAATAAAGCATAAATTGAACAAGCAGAAATGATCAGTGATATGGAAGCTCTTTGCCACACCATAGCAATGTCTCAGGAACCGTATTTGCAAGAAACTTTGAGGCCCACACACATTTCTTTCAAACATTAGGCCAGGCTAGATGTTGGTGTGATTGAGCCTGCTGGGCTGAAGGGAGAGGTGGTGCAGGCCACATACTAATTAAAGAGCTAATTCTGATAAAGATATTTTGTATCCGGGCACATGATGGGTTGTAAAATCATATGTATGGAGCTATCCCAGCAAAAAACTGGAGGCAAGCCATTTATGCAGCAATGCTCTGAAAGGGAAGCCAACTGTGAAATCACTGTAATTAGATTTATTCTAGTTTGTATTTTTGTCCAATAATAAAATAAATAATAAATAATACTAATAAAAAATCTACCATCAATTCCTTGGGTTCTTCCAAGTTTGCTAAGGGATAAAATTGATTCAATTTATCTTTTGCCTTTTTTTTTTAAAAACTCCATTATGGCTTTATGTACTATGGGTAGCCTGGCTCTGATTCAGCCACTCTGGTCTCTTCCCACATAAACAATGTAAATGCACTTGTAAAATCTCCAGTTTTTATTGGTAAAGCCATACTGTCGTCTTTAAATAAATAACATTTTGCACTTTCATTTGTGGATCTCAAAGAGCATTACAAACCTTCATTAATTAAAGCCACACATCATTGCAGACAGTGGCACTGGTAAGTGTTATTATAGATGAGGTATAAATAGCATGTACAGGATCCCACAAGTCATATGCAGAGGTGGGTTGGAACTTAGAAGCCCTGACTTCCCGTTCTTGACATTCATTCCTGTTTCCTACAGTACCGTCCCAGTCTTGGAATCAGTGCACACACAGACATCTCCCATTGCATTCAATGCAAGTTCTGTTTATACACAGCAACATTTGGCCCTTGTTTTGCACATTAGATTAACCAAAAGAATGGTCTCATGAAAAGCAGCTAAACTAAAAGCCCTAGAATATTATTCCATGACACAAGATTTGGGTTTAGGTTTCTAGTTGCTTCAAAATTAGATTAGCTGTGTGGGTATTGGGCTGTGTAGCCACTTGAAAGTTTAGCACCTATGGAGACAAGTATTTTCTGGAGACAAGCCCCAAGTAAGCATAACTGCACCTGACTCTTTCAAATGTCTGCCGGAAAGAGAAATGTGCATATCTGTACTGGTCAGTATCTCTTATGGAATATATTTACATATAAATTTTCAGTCAAGTGAAATATTCCCAGACATTTAATGGACCTGGAGGATTGAGATCTTTGGAAGTAAGAGTCAAGAGCTTAAACTTCATCTCTGCCGGTAAGAATAGCTTGTTTAATAAACGTGAATAGACCCATTTGTCACATCTTTGTGAGGCAACGTGGTCTAGTGGATAGAGCAGGGTCCAGGAGCTCTGTGTTCTCTGTCCAACTCTGTGACGGACTCACTGCATGGTCGTGGGGGTGTCCGCTTCTCTGTGCCTTAGTTTTCACCTACCTTTACAGAGTTCTTAGGATGGTCAGATGACAGGCTTTCTATAAGTACAAAGTCTTACTGTTATCTAAGAACTCTTGTGAGGCTAAAATTCACAAAGCCACCTAAGGGATTTGGACTCCCGGTTCCCATCCAAAGTCATGGGAACTGCATATCCAAATTCCACAAGTAGCTTTGAAAGTCTCAGCCGTAATACTTGCTGTTAGATGGTGAGTTACCATAAATGATGGGACAGCACTAAAAGCAAAAGAGGAAAGAAGGTCTGGTGGTTAGGGTGCTTGCTGGAGACATGAGAGATTTGGGTTCAGTGGGATGCTTGGCAACAGGTTTCCTTTGTGACCTTAGTCTAGGATTTGCAGAAGGTGGGATCCACTCCTGCCTCTTAAAAACATCCCCACTGGCTGCAGCTGAGGTTTTACATGAGGCAGAATATCAAGCTGCTAGCACAAGAACACTAGGGACCTCATAGTGCAGATATAATATATGATATCTGTGTAGGCAATATAGAAAACCCTAAGAGAGACACAAACCGAACATCTGGAAACTTATTTCTGGGAATCAAACAGACTGCTACTGGGATGTTGTATTTTCTTATGGACTTTTGGTAGGCAAGATATATTTATGAATGAGGCAATATTTATTATTCATGTATAGGAGATATCTATTTATGTTTTATGCTTGACACATACCTCTAAAATACATTTTAACAAGCACAATTAAGAAATACTATCAACTAGCATATACATCAGCACTACATGACTTAGCACAATACTCCAATGTGATTTAAGATGCTCTGCATTACTCTTGCCTTAATCCATAAATCACATGCAACTGTCAAATAAAAAAATCCACACACAGTAAATATCCATCAAATACTAAGGCAATTTAACTGTTTTGCACCTGACAAGGCTTGTAAAAACCGATCAAATTACACAAGAGACTTAAATTGATTTAGTGATGCCAAATGGTATTGGGATACCTCTGTTTGTCATCCAGTCCTTTCTTTTACCATAACTTTTCATCATCTTTCTCTGCATGAGTTGTGGTATAATGAGTTGACCTCTGAAAAATGTTGCCAGAGAAGAACATTAAGGTTGTTTAACATTTAAAATCTCAGCGATACCGGGGCAAAGTTTTATTCCCAAAATCTCAACATGAGCTTAACACAGAATTGTGCAAGGGACAGTTTCTTGTTTGCTACTGATCTAATTAAAAAACAGGGTGGAATTTGCAAGGTTAATGGTGAATTTAATCCTGTATCCTATGTGCAGGGGAATGACTTTCATCTAGAGTTCAAAGTCTGAGAGTAAAGCTGTTGCAGGTATGCAACTTTAACAGGATGTTAGTTCAGAAGCAAGTGAACACTACCAGGAAGAAGAGCTGGTGTGTCAGGAGGATTATTAGGGATTGCTGCCCAGTGAAAGTGCTAGGCTCTGCTCCCCAAAATAAAGACAAGATACACTTGTCTGTGCTTCAGTCTTTGTTACACAATGGGCCAATGAGCTGCACCCACTTACACCAGGTCTGAAGTTATTTGAAATTAAAAAGAAACTATAGAAATAGATGGTATATTGCAAGGAATACAGGGTAAAAATAATCACACCTTAAAGAGAATGATAAATGCAATTGAAAATATCAGTTGAACCCTGAGTCTTTGCAGATGATTTGCTTCCCTTAGATTCTGCTGATCAGAGATGTTAAAACTCTGGTGTTCATTTTTCTATGGAATATTGATGGTTTTAGATTCTTATGGTATATAAATCACCCAGCAGAATCACCTCTGAGATAATACCCTATGAGATAAGCCTACCTACTGGTTTTAGGGATAGCTTTAATTGAATTTCATTTGTTATATTTATTGTAAGTACTTGAATATGTCTGGGCGCGACACAGCAGCTTCTTTACACACCTGTGCAGACAAAGTGTGCCTTGTCTCTCTCTGCTAGCTAGTCCACATGGAGGATAACTACTACCAGCTAGTGAGAGTTACTGCTGGAGCTCAAGTGCTAGAGGCCTGTGCCTGAGTTTGGAGATGCTGGATTTCATGGAGATGCAAATACACTTGCTACGGTATTTCCCTTTTTTCCAATGTGTTAAAGATCATCAAACTGACACCACACAGGTCCACTTAGAGGCACTTAGCAAATAACCTGAGCCAGTGAATGGTGTTGACCCAGGGTACAAATCAAGTTAGAAGTTCGATTGTAAACTCTTCATGGGGAAAGATCGTATATTTCCATATATTTGTACAGTGCCTAGCACAATGGGGCCCTGCGCCTGTTGGTGACATGTGTATTACTGCAATAATAATAATAATGTAGCCTTCTGAGAGACAATGTAAAATGTTGTGGACTACAAAAAGTAATTTATCTTAATCTCTAATATTATACCCTGTACCCAAAGTTATAATTTGCACAGGAATTCAACTTTTCTATAGGAGTTCTCCATTTTACTTCAATATTTTTTTTGGTAAAGAATCACCAACTAAATGTAGAATTGTGTGGAGAGTTAATAATGCACCAAAGACTATCTCTGGGGTCCCTGATTGAATTGTCAGGATGCATCTGCCATGGCTTTCATCTTTTCAGTAAGTATTGTGATCGGTTGGGGCTCCATAGTACAGGGAAAGGTACAGATACGTGGGGAAATCCCATCCCACCTGTTTATTAAATGTTACACTATTAGTCATCTCTTTGCGGAGGTACATGCAATGACTTGAACAGCTCGGTCTCTTGTGCACTCACATGACCATGTGGAGTCTCTCTTATTTAAAATGCTGCAAACTGGGAGTCCTGCTGACTCAGGTTCCGAGCACATATTTCCACATCATCATCGCGTTGCTTCTGAATCACAGAACCCTAAAAGGGGACAATGAGGTGAATGCCAGGGATGTCCTCTGTCAGGCATGACATTAGGAAAGTGCTGATTCAGTCAGTTGCAGCCTCTGAAGAACATATTTGTTTACTGCAGCGGTGACATGTGCAGCTGTCTCTCTGCCTCCAGTTGGGCTTTCAGGCGTTTAGCTGAATAGATTAAATTTCTGGTTTCAGTCTGAGTAATCTGCAGATGCTTTACAACTAATTATTCCACCTTTCATTGACTTAGCTGTGCTTAATTTACACAGTTAAGGGTGTGGCAAAAAAATCACATTGCTTTGTACCATAGCTAACCTGTTTTTTAACATCCCATACCTGCCTTAGAACACAGATAAAAAAGTATGAATTTTTTGTTAGGGAGCACACTTTCAAATCCAAATGAATGGCTTCAGATAAAAAGATTAATGAAAGCTTCCTCCTGCCCTGGCTCTGACAAAATGAAGTCATATACCGAGGTCACTTCACTAGCAGAAAAAGGAGTAGAAACTACTGGGATAGGCAAAGCAGAGTATGAAGTATTTTTAATACACTGGGAGGACATAATATGATTAGTCTATTTTATTAAGCACTGGGATGCCTAGAGATGAGGGTGTAATATAATGGACCACCTTCTAAATGACATTTATATGCCCCTATAATTAATGATTCACATTCTGTATTGGATTGTGCTACATGTATATGGATGTGCCAAGCACAGAAGAGGTGGAAGTGCATGTGGAAGGAAAGTTACCTCCAGAGACTGTGTTGTTTTTGCACCGCTGTGGTGGGAAGGGGCTGACATAAGTAGGAAAGCTGGGTGTGTTTTGCATAAAAGGGGTGTGTCCAAGGTGGAAGTATTCTTAAGCTAAAGATCTTTTATACTAGATTCTTCATCTCTCTGCCTGCTATGTTACCTAATAGCTAGATCACTACAGAAGAAAAAATACGGGTAATAATGTACATATACCATTATCTGATTTGTTCAGTGCCGTTCCTGTTTGGCAGAGCGGTGCTTTGTTTTTGTTCATTACTAATGTAGTTGAAACTATGGCAGAATAAGTAGGATGATTCCTTTCAGTAATTGCAAATCAAATATTTCAATATGATGGTAAGATATTGTCTGATGATTTATTACCCTGTTTGCATATCGTTATGAACTCTATCACTCTATCACTGCAGCGCCAAGATACTGGGGCTTCTTTTAAAACACCTGATTGGCTTGTTTAAATTAGTGATCAGACCATAAATCTAGTAAACATGCATAGTAATCTCAATAAGAATATTATGAATTGATACAGACATTATTCATCAATCTCACTATAGGCCTGATCCAAAGAACATTGAAATCAATAGAAAAACTCCCAATGATTTTAATGGGTTTTGGATCATACCTTCAGTTAAAAGCAGCAAGCATGATGAAAACACAATTGTGCACCACTCTGAACACTCCTAGCAATGTGCAATCAGGAATAGTGTACAGATAGGAGATTATTTTAAGAGTTAAGTAATGGTTCGATAAATGCCATGTATTATAGGCCAGCAATGGCTGCCTCTAAGGCCCTGTTTACAGTAGGAAAAAGGGTTGTTTTTACAACATGATAGCTAATAGTGTAGGCCTTACATCAGTTTAGCTGGTCTAGCTATGACACTGTAAAATATACTTTTTTCCCTAATGTAGACATACTCTAAGACTCCCCTTCTGCATTGCCTTCCTAGCATTGTTCATACAACATCAGTGATAACTTGGTAAGTCAGGATAATAGGAGCTCCCATGAGTCTTATGCAAGCTTCTTTAAGTTTAAAACAGAGAGCTGTGAGAAAATGGGAGAAATCAACATATCATGAGTCATTTAATATTAGGGGTATTTGGAAAGAAAAGGTTAAAGCTATTTCCAGTGGCAAGCAATTAAAGAATGGTAGGGTAAACTATTCTAACCCATTCTCTCACACAATGTAGTGGTGAAAATATAGTGGTCAAGGCTGACCACCCAATGATGAGAAGAAGTACTCTAGTTTGCAGTTATGTCAACAACTGATTCATGTCTTCTACATAATGCAAAGTTACAATCTGCTTACTTTCTGTATTCTATAATAGGCTACAGTTTTCATGAAGAAGAGTAATTAATTTGCACCCGTGAAATCTCTATTGTGATTTCATGGCAAATATGATCTTAATTTTCACTGGTCCAATGGTATTTGTAAAGGGCATGGCTTGCAATGGGTTAAGCCTTTCACAACTTGCCTCACAACTGCAAAAATGAACACATAGATGTGCCATCTGGCAAGTACCCCCTTTCATATTAACGGCCTTCTAGGTCTCTCTAAGCTACCCTTAGGTACTCTGAACAGCTGCAATGTAAGTCTCCAAACTTCCACTGTTGTAATGGGAATGAAGAACAAACAATGCTTGATACTTTTGCTTCCCATTAACATTGGAAAAAACAGTTAGTTGGAACCAAATCTAATCTACCTGCAGACAGGTGGGCACTTATGTTTAGAGGCAACCAAAGGGTTTTCACCTGTCTCAGCTCTTCTTTAGGCAAATTAGCAATTTCTTTATGGTGATAGATATTTAACTCAGATTATTTTTTTCAAGGCACTGAATGTTCCAGTGGAAATTAATAATTTACCTGCTACAAGAGTGCTCAATATCCATATACATGTAAATAGTCATTAGACAAGATGGCAGTAGGTGGCACTCAAGAATATGTATCATAGTTCCTTGATTTTGTAGGACTCACAAAACTTGTTGTGCACAGTAAATAGCTGACAATGGCAATTCTGTATGTCAGTCTGGGTCTTCAACTGCATGTACAGAACCAAGCATACTGCCACTGTTCAATAAGTAAATAGTTAATACCCTTCCTGTGTTTCAGGAGAAAATTGGATGTCAAGTACAGCTGTCCTGAAAAAAATCTAAGGTTGGTTTATACATGGGAGCTTGTATGATACTTACATGCTATATTTGAGGGGGGGAAACCACATAGGGAAATCATTTTTGAAATGTATGCAAGTTTTACTTTGTTTAAAATATATATTTGTGTGTGAGAGAGCAAACAAGTGATGGGAATGCCTGCATCTTATACTAGATTGTATTAATCTTACTACATTAATTGCGAATATCTGTCACAAGCAGGGAATGTTTTGGGACCTTCCTTTCCTATATTTACTCCTGAGCACTGCTAACAGAAAATAAAAGATCAAAATGATGACTTTATCTGATACTGGTTTTAACAGATTTATTTCCTGTTCTAAATTTCTTCCATGGGAACTGAAAAGTGAACTGGTCTTCCAATTATGTCTTAGAATGTTGTTAGATTTGGAAATGGAGAAGATGAAAGACTATACTGTAGAGAAATGGATTTTTCTTCTGATGGGCTGGTTATGAAATAACTTTTTTAACTCCAAGGCTTTAGAGATGTGTAAAGCACCTAAATCATACCAAAGTGGTAAATAATGAAAGAATTGACCTCTACAGAACTGGGAATTTGCCTTGTAATTGAATAAAAGAACAAAAACTTCCATTACCATAAAGGTGATTTAGGGTTAGGAGACTGACCTCTTTTCAGTCTCTGCATGCTGGATTACTAAATACCTGCTAAGTTATGACCATACCAAAATGAAGTATTGGAGGCATGATCATTTGTCTACTGTCCTTTTTATACTTGAAGAAGGTGCTTAATCAAATACAGTAGCTATTCTATTTCCTTAGATATTCAGCCTTTAAGAAAGGCCCATAAAAAGTACAGAGGTTATGAAATGGTAAAATTCTGATGCTTAAACAGAGGTAATTGGGTATTTCAGAAAAGTCTTGACAATTTGTCTCACCCTACAGCCCCACTAATCTGACTGAAACTGCACCAAAGCCTTAAGAGGATCTTAAAGTGAACCTACTGATACATGTATCTAATTCAGGCTCAATTGTTTTTCCACACCAATTTCTAAACTATTTTATCAATGTTTGTTTAAAATCCCACTGGAAAATTTTCAAAGAAAATGTTTAAAAGCATAACATTTCTTATAAAATATTAATTTTAATTTAACAAATTAGATTTAAGGAAGCAGAAGAAAAAAAGAGGAAAATCCTTCCTAGACAGTAGAATAGAGTCAAAGACAATATTCTTGATTTATAACAGGAATAATACACATTTAAAAAAAAAGGAATAGAGTATAATTAGAAAGCCTGACCAGTTGTGGGAAGCTCTTACTATTATTAAGAAATAAATGTCTTTATTTATTTATAACCAGGCTAGAATGTTCTCGGGTACTTGGTAATATTCTTGAGGTAAGGATGAGGTAAGGGCATAGGTGTGTATATATCTATATCTATATCTATAATCATTATTTTCTTCTGTGCACTGTGTATTAAGACTCAATGCAACACCTTAGCTTGACAAATTTCCATTATGATAGGCTGATCCTTCTTCTAGAGGTTTTATTATGAGCCAATAAATAAAGGGGGAAAGAGAACAATTCTGCCTGCCTCTAGCAGTTAGTTAAAAGATGAGTTCTGAATAGCTCTTTTATTAGTTCATGGCCAAAAGTATCAGTTTAAAGTTTGCATTAAAATAATAGAGAGAAAAGGTGGGTGAGGTAATTGGACTACCTTCTGCTGGTGAAAGAGACAAGCTTTCAAGCTGCTCTGCTCTTAGCAGACATCACACCTGCGTAGCTTGAAAGCTTTTCTCTTTCAATAACAGAAGTTGATCCAATAATAGATATTATCTCACCCACCTTGTCTCTCTAATATCCTGGACCAACATGGCTACAACAACACTGCAAACATCAAAATAATACTCAGTTTTTGAAGACTTTTTGGCCAAATTTAATGACTGAATTCCCACTCTACCTTGTCAAATAGCTTTTTGACATTTATCAAGATTACAGCCGGGGTCTCAAGTGTGAGTGTAACAGTGGTAAAGCCAAAAAGGGAAAACCATGAATCAATCTACGTACCCCATCAAACTACCCATCTACATACCTATTTCTTAGACAATGATCAC